CACGCACACACGCCCGGCGTGAGTTTTAAGCCACCGGGTCCGGGATGTGAACTGTGGTCGACTACGTGGGAGTCCAGCAACACAGCCATTACGCTAAGTGCTGGTTCCCGATCTCTCTCTTCTTTCACAGACAGATATTCAATGTGATCTTAAAGTCAGAATGGGTTGAATATCTAGACATTTGTTTTGTATTGAGATTTTGCTTTTACTTCCTTTTTTTTTTTTTTTTTTTTTTTAGGGTTTTGGCTATAGGGCATGTATGCTCATGGGGGTGATGGGGATGGAGAGGGAAAGAAAGAGAAAGTGAGACATCATTCCCTGGGAAGATGGCCATGCCACGGTCTCTTCTCTGTTCTCCTCACAATTCTGGGCATCTGTGATCCAGTGTGATTTCTAAGCTGCTGGGTCAAGGACTCAAACTGGTCAGTCATGTAGGAGTCCAGTGCCTTAACCACTGTGCCACCTGCTGGCCCTAATTTCTTCTTTAATTTAGCTCTTGATTTGAGTATATCAGAAAATTAGGATAAAAGACTGAATATATAACATCATATGGATTACTGAATTTAAGGTAGTATTGTTGGGGCTACTATAACAAAATGCCATAAACTTGGTCATTTAAAAATAACAGAAATTGAACCAATGGGTGGCATGGTGGTTAAGGCACTGGACTCCCACATGGCTGACTGGAGTTTAAGTCCCGGACCTGGTGACTTGCTCACTTTCTCTCCCTCTCTTTCTCTCTCTGGTGGGCACATGTGCCCTATAGCAAATTAAAAGAAAACAAAACATAAAGTTAAATAACTAATCTTTAAAAGTACAGAAATGTATTTCATAGTTCTGGAGGTTGGAGAGTCCAAGATCGGGGTCTTGTAGATTCAGTGTCTGGTGAGACTCACAGTCTGATTCACAGAGGATGCCTTCTCCCTGTGACTTCACATAGTGGAAGGAGCGAGGGTCTCTAACCTCTTTTTTAAGGGTACCAATCCTATTCATGAGGGCAGAGCCTCCAAAAGGCCCACTCTCCTAATATCATCTAGAGGGTTAGGATTTCAGCCTAAGAATTTTGGAGACACAAACGTTGAACCACAGCAAGGAGTGAAAATTTTAAATTCATGGTGCAGTATTTATACGGGGGAAATTTCTCTGGTCTCTTCTATATCTGAGGATCTTTTAGTCAAACTGATACAATGACCTACTGTGCTGCTAATGAGTTTTGTGATCTTGAGCTGGGCGATAAATCACCTCCCTGCCTGAGCTTCCTCTTAAAGAGAGAAATAGCCACTTTGTAGGATTGTTATGGGATTAAAAACACGATCGGTGTTGCCATCCAACAACGGTTAGTCTCCACGATAATCCCTATCTTTGGTAAAAGTGACGTATTTCTTTTTGTTTTCTTTTGAAAATGTATTAGAGCCTCATTCTGGAACTTCAAGACAGCGGCAAGCCAAAATGACACCCCATTCACTGCCTGAGCCTGAGGTGAACGAGCAGTCTTCCTCTAAAGCTGTATTTAAAAAAAAGGGAGGCTGGAAAGCAGGTCCTGAGGGCACGACATCGCAGGAGATCCCCAAGTACATAACTGGTAGGTCTTTGTCGGTGTGTGACTGTGACAGGAGCTGCTCGTCTCTAGTGCGGCCAGGATTGCTAACACGTGGCTCTGCAGTGTCTTGGCTCTACCTCCCTTGCCTCTCTCTTTGCTGCCTCCACTCCAGGCCCTTCTCACCTGCAGCTTGGATTTTGGCCATAGCTTCCCTAGGCCTGATGGCTTTTCCTTCTGCGGCATCTCTTTCTCTTAGTCATTCTTTTTCTTTTTTTTAGTTTTTTGCCATAGGGTGGTGTGTGTGTTTGCCAGAGAGAGACGGAGACAGAGGGACAGTGAAAAAATCATACCCCAAGGGGGAAAGGGGGGATGTCCTCACCACAATCTTGTCTCCTCCATTCTTCTCTTGGGATTTTGGGCATGCACTCTCACATGCTTGGCATGATTTTCAGGCCACCAGGTCCAGGACTTGAAGCCAGGTATGTGGGAGTCCAGTGCCATAACCACCATGCCATCTCATGGCCCCTCTTACCCATCTTCTTACTAGTGTTTGGGAACTATTCCTTTTTGTCTTAATCTCTACCTGCTTCTCTTTCCCTTTTGTGTTTTTAAAAATTAAATTAAATTATTATTTTAATTTGCTATAGGGCAAGTGTGCTTACCAGAGAGAGATGGAGAGAGAGAGAAGGTGAGAAGGCAAGCCATCAGGTCTGGGACTCAAACTGTGATCAGCCATGTTAGAGTCCAGCACCTTAACCACCACACCACCTTCTGGCCCCCATCACACCCTTTTTTATTTATTTTTTTTTAGTTGCTTGAGGGTATGGGCATTCTTACCAGAGGGAGACAGACAGGGTGGGAGAGAGAGAAAGCACCCTTTAGTAGGACATGGCCATGCTGCAATCTCTTTTCCATTTATCCATCCTGCCAGGACTTTGGGCCTGCATGTACACTGGGGTGGGATTTGAACTGCAGTCAGCCGTGTGGGGTCTGGCTCCCATAACCATTAGGCCAAAGGACTGTCCCTTTCTTCCCCTTTAAATATGCTATCCACACTCCTCAGAATGGCATTCTCCAAAAATAGAACCACATTTAATACTGTCTAATGGCAACCAAGACCTTTATCTCAAGGGTCTGTCTACAGGCACTTTCTGGTCTTACCTCCCATTGTTCCCCCATCACCCCCAAATCCCACAACCACATAAACTCTATGGTCCTTACATGCAGCTTCCATGCACTTTGTGGTTTCTCTACCTTCTTGGAGGACTTTACTTAAGTTTTCCTAGCACCCTGTTTACACTTCAAAAAGAAAAGTGTTTTTTAATAAAGAAATCTAGTAATAATGATCATATATTTGGAAAAGCAGAAAATATGAAGAAAAAACAACCTCAGAGTCAAAGCCACTCTCGAAAATTTTTTTTCTTTGTTTTCCTATGTGATTATTTCACTTAAGAATGGTTGTGATTGGGACCAGCAGTTGGTGTAATGGCTAGACTCCCATGTAGTTGACCACGATTTGAGTCCCAAACCTGGTGGCTTAAACTCATGCCATACGTGTGTGCCTAAGATCCCGAGAGGAGAATGGAGGAAAAGGGATTGTGGCGTGGCTATACCCCAGGGGGGTGATTTCTCACTTTCTGTCTCACTGTCGTTCTCTGTCTTTCTGGCGAGTGCATGCGCCCTGTAACAGAAACCTCTCAAAAAAAATGTTTGTGATTATATTTGCGTTTATATTTATTGCCTACATTTGCTACATGTGGACTCCTTTTTAATTTAATTTAATTTTTTAATTTGCCAAAGGTGGGACTGGTAGGTGGCATGGTGGTTAAGGCACTGGATTTCCACATGGCCGACTGTGCTTTGAGTCCTGGACCTAGTGGTTTGCTTTCTCTCTCTCTCTTTCTGGTGAACCCAGTAGAAAACTAGAAAATAAATAAATAAATAAATGATAAATTAAAAAATTAAATACAACTAGAAAATAATAAATAAATAAAAGATAAATTTAAAAATTAAATACATTCTTTTTTTGAGAGAGAGAGATTTATGCCATAGGTTATGTGTGCTTGCTGGTGAGACAAAAAGAGAGAAAGCAAGAAATCACTCTTGGGGGGATGGGCAAGCCGCAGTCCCTTCTTCATTTTCCTCTCAGGGTCCGAGACTCAAACTGTGGTTGGCCATGTGGAAATTCAGCACCTTAACTACCTTGCCACCTGCTGGCCCTTCCTACCCAT